TCTGACCTGTCCAAAGAACACCCTCCGACTGAACTGCGCAGGTCTGGCAGAGCTACCCAAGAGCCCGCCTACCTGCGTGACTATGTAATGAGCAGGATTATTCCATCCAATAAGGGAGGGGTGTTAGATACTTGCTTCAACTACAGTGGTTTCCACCAAGGTCCTCTGTTCCGGTGGGAACAGAGGTTTAATCTCATTGGTCGAAGGGTCTGACAGCTCCCTATAAAAGGGCTGCTGTCAGACTCAACCTTCACTGGATTGTTCTTACTTGTTGTGTTATAATAAAGAACTGCTGTTACTTTTAGCCTTGTGTGCCTTTCCATTACCCGATCTAACATAAGCCATTGCCAGTTTTGCATTTATCCACTTTCTCGTTGACCTTTTGTAAAACTGACCATGTAATGCTTTTCCTTGCCAGCATTCTGTTGTATTTTTATTCTTTTATTTCAATAATCATATTTTTGTTTTCTAACATTAGTAAATTCCAATATTCAACTTGCATCACTCTGTTTGTTCTTGGCTATCTTTTATATAATCATCCAATGCATTCTTTTCTTCTTCAGCAGTTTGTTTGATTTAAAGTAAACTTCTGCCTTCATTTCTGAAGGGTTGGTATCAAGATCACTATGAAGATGTGAATGGTCAACAGTTTTCTTGGGTTTTTTTGGTTCAAAGTGTGCAGTTTAGCATGTGTCCAGTTAATAAATCCAGCATTGTGTAGTATCACATGTATGGTCCAGAAATTGATGGCTTTGATGTTGCTTCCACCTTTCAATTTTGTCATTAATACTTTTCTCACATCTTGGATGTATTCTTTATTAATCACATTTTAAAGCTGTCAAGGCTTGGGGTTATCCAACTATAAAATGCTCAGATACTTGTAGACTTTATTCTGGTGATTTCTGATGGGTTGGCTAATTCCATTACTGTTCGTGATTTTATTCAGTGCATTCTCATGTATATGTAATTATAATGGCTATTATTTTTATTTATGTATATACTACTTTGTTATTATCTATTAGGCAAACGTATCTAACATTCATTTCTTCTCATATATTCCCCACAACAACAACCCTGTGAGGTGAATTGGCTGAGAGGGGAAATGGCCAAAATCACCCAGCTGATGTTAATGCCTAAGATTCATTATCTCCTGGTTTATAGCCTTAACCACTAGACCTAATTAGTATTATTATTTCATTATAATAGCCATCCAGTATAGCCTCTTATTTTGCACAACTGATCTCAAAAAATCTGTAATAAACAATAAAGAAAAATAACTCAAGGGTAGGAAACAATTTTATTTTCCAGAATAGAATGAAGTTAATGCCACCTAAGAACCTGCACTAGGGAAATAAAATTAACAAAGTGAGAGGTTGTGAGTATAAACATATTTTCTTTTCTGTATTTACCTGAAATTAAGATTAATTCCCCTGACATAATTATCTTTAACATGAGAAGTTCAACTTGGATTCAATGAGTATATTGTACTAACAAAGATGAATATTGCTCTCTGCTTACTTCTGTGGGGCACGGGGCAATCTTAACAACAGGACTGTCTTTCTTCTCTATGAATTATGGCACTTTAATAGCATCTCATCTACTTCATTAAAAGACAAGGTTCATCAGACAATCCCAAATTCTGCACGTAACTTTTTGGAATGTACTGCTGGAAGTTGTCCAGAACAGATTAAATTGGTCTTTTTACATCCTAATTTCCTTTCATACAAGAGAAATCCAGAGTGCCTTATATTTTCTGTGTCACGCAAAATATTCATATTCTTACAGCGCAATTGTAAAAACTTCAGATTTAATGAAGAAATATAACCAAACAAGGACCATAGGGAGATTGCTTTTCCCATGTTCCCTATTCCAAATTATTAGAAAGTATCTATTCACAGCAGAAAAATCCATTGATAATTACTTTAGACAACTACAAAAATAAAAACCAAGGCCATGTTCAATTCTACAAATGTCATGTTCAGGAACAAAATACCATACAATGTTTTGGTTCATCAACTTCCAAAACTTTTCCTTTTTCTCACTCCTAAATGTGATTGTAAATCTGCAAAGCTAAGAAAGGAATAACCAAAGCTTTTCATTCTTCTTTCTTTCGCCTATCTCCTTGTTTGTTTATTCAAAGCCTTAGATCTAGGGCAGGGGTGCCAAACTGGTGGCCCGCGGGCCAGATGCGTCACATGCAGGCCACACCTACCCCAGCTCCGGAAAGGTAAAAAATGTTGTAATACACAGTCATGTGACGTGATCAAGTTTGAAATCCATGGTCTACTGACTCCTCCTAACATGAAAGCTATGGTAAAAATAAGTAAAGGAGTCCCTGCAGATTTTACTCTGCTAGTGGTTGCCAACTACAGGGGGTGGTGCTCATTTCCATTTCAAGGACATTGAGCCAGTGCTGTCCGAAGATATTTCTGCAGTCATTTGGCCAGCATGATGTTACAGACCACTGTTACATTCCCGCAAAAATAATTCCTATTTATCTATACATATTTGGATGCTTTCGAACCGCTAGTTGGCAGGAGCCGGGATGACGACAAAAGCTTATCTCATTATGTGATGCTCAGGTCTTGAACCTGGACTGCCAGCTTTACAGATGACAAGCCCAGTATCTTAACTGTGATCCACCACACCACCCCAATAATTAAATGATGAAAAATGAAACAATATGATGCCAATGCTACCCCTTATAGTTTTTTAGGTATAGGAAGAATTGCCAGTGCAGTTGTTTTTCCTGTCTTACCATCACAGGGAGCGCTAAAGCATTGTACATGTTTTCCAGAATTAAAATGTCTCTGGTTTATACAATTAGCAGCATTATATAGAACATTTTCCATTATCAGACCCTTGGTGAATTCAGCAAAAATGGATTGGGAATGAAAAGTAAATGTTTGTGATTGGATTCCTATATCCCAGTAAGCTATATTTTGGTCTTGTGTGCGGTGAATAAATAGAGGATATAGTTTTGATGTAATCTCTATAATTTCAGTGTTTTGATGTTGTACAATCTTTTTATTTTTCTGGTAGACCAATCCAATATATATTAACCCACATATAAATCTTGTTGATGGGAACATACTGGTAAATGAATAAACAGAATGGAAATCAAGAACACAATTTCTTTTCATTTTTTACACAAACTTAACATATGTACATGAATCTAAAACTATTTTATGTAAAATACAAAAGTTAATACAACTTGACAGTGTGATTTTGATGACTGAATTCCAGTTTAATTCTAATGACTAAATTTAAATGAAAATTGAACACATAGAGTCTCCAGTTTGCTTCTTTAGAGCAGCCTTAGTCCATGTAAATCCCTAACATACACTGATAGGTTGGGAGCTGTATGCTGAAATGATTTCCGTAACAATAAGAGTGAAAAGAAAGATAACTTCATGTTCCATTGTATCAATAAACCCCACTGTTTTTCTAGTTACAAAATGAATATACTGATTAAGTCAATTATCTTATAACTGCCCAATTTATGAGGTTCCTTTTATTTACATTCTAATCAATAATTTTAAGCAAGTCACTTTTTATATACTAGTATATATTCAATATATGTGTCAAGTAGTCTCTGAAGAACTACACACATACACAAACACAGAGAGACAGAGAGAGACACACACACACGAAATGAAACTGATTATAACAGCAGAATGATTAGCATCTTGAAATTAAGGCAATTCTAACATGAAAGACAGAGAAAGAGAATTGGGATCATTAGAATGCAAATAGCACAAGAACATTAGCAACCCCCCAAATGCAAGTAATAAAAATAAGCAGCTAACACAACATTAGAGTCAATAGTTCCCCTTAATAATAAAAAAAAATTCACAGTTACATAAAGAATTGAATTAACTGTTAATGTATTCTTTCAGGGTGAAAAGTTTGAGATTAAGTACTGAACAGAAAATTGTTAACTGTGCACCTTAACATGATATTATGAACTAACAAATATGCATTAAAACTACCAATACTCCTCTGCCAAATTATAAATTATAGCTAGCATATAAATTGTGGGGATAGGAATGGTTGTGAAGCGCTGAAAAGATGGCTTGAAATGTACACAAAAAATTGTCTTGAGCTTCTAATATGAACAGAGATATATTTTAATTATATTCTAATACAAAATCTGAATCTTATATTGTTGACTGTGTGAAATTCTAGTTTGAATCTAGAAAGACAGACACTTTTCAGAGAACACAGGAGCCTAGCATTTTTATCTTATTCTTTTTCTTAGTGTACGGCTTGCTTAGTTATGGGGTCCACTTATTTTTGTATTGTGCTTCCCAAGTTCTTACACCGAAGCTCATCAAAGCATGATATGACAATGGGTTTTTGTTTTTCAATCAATCTGTTCTAGAGCCTTGTGTTGATTTGGGTTGAGAAGGAGTGACTATGCCATTTCTTCTCAATTGGCTTCAGTATCTATAGAAAGCTACAACCTATGACCACGCGTGCCGGAAGTGGCACGCAGAGCTGTCTCTCCAGCCATGCCAGCTGTCGCCTGTTGCTCTTCAGGGTTCTGGCGCACACATGTGCATTGGCCAGCTGGTCTTCACATGCGTGGTAGCACGAGAAACCAGAAGTGCAGCTTGCCCTGGTGCACAAGCATGCACCAGGAAACTGAGCTTTCCGTTTCTGGCACTCACATGTGCGCTAGCCAGCCGTTCTTCGCACATGCATGCACGTCAGAAACCGGAAGACCAGGTGACTGGCATGCAGGCACATGCCAGAAAACGGAAGCTCAGCTTCCAGGCTCACGCATATGTGCCAGGGAACTACTCTTCCAATGTCTGCGCTCCTGCATATATGCGCCATGGAGCTGCTCTTCCAGTTTTCAGCGCTCCCCCACATGCATGTGCGTACTCCCATTTCGACACTTGGTGCCAAAAAGGTTCGCCAACACTGACCTAGGTCTTCCTCATCCTAGCCCAGAGTCTTAATTACATCACCATATTGACTCTCAAACCTAACATTTTTCTAATAACAAAAATAAATAAATGAATACATTAAAAATAAAACAAAAAGAAACAAAAAGACCTTCAAAGACTAGGCTGAATGGACCACTGGGTTTTTTTTCTGACACGAATTTTCTACATTTTTATGTTTCAGTGGAAGAAAATACAAATTTTAGTATGATGCATGCCATAAGTTTAAATTAGTTTTAATGAACCAACAAAAAGTATTAAACCTGAAGGATCATGTACATAACTACAACAAAGCTGATAACATGTCTGGTTATAATTACTATATAATCCTGCTGATCATTCTGTCCAAGTATATGTTGCTTCCTCTGGGAAGACAGATGTATTTAGATAAACTGCATAACTTTTCACAGAAGTACAGAATCCAATTTCTTTTTTCTCCCATCATCCTTAAGATTTCAGGATCAGTTTTGTCAAATTAGATCCTTGATTGAAGCAATAGTAACCAGAATTTATATTACCGTGAGAAATGGTCTCTGCATGTTCCCTTAAAAAAAAAACCCTCCCAAAACCTTTAGCAGCAGATTTGGCATGAAAAAAGAGCTAGAACAAGTTTTTAAGTGAGTTCAAAGTGTTTTGAACATACTTCTATAGTTTCTATGGAAATACCAGTTGTTACCAAAGAGACTATACAAAATTATAGCTGAGAGCATTGTGTTAGCTAGAGCAATATTGCAGGATTTGTCAAATTGTTTTCCTGTAATAATTATGGATCCTATGTTTTCAGGACTACCAGTTCTGAATTGAAGTTGTAACCGTGGTGAACAATTACTAAGGCCAATAGAATATGTATTATCATGTTAACCTATGCACCTTTTTCTATTTTACTTTCTTTTTGCCAGAAGATTTCCAAGCGCTAAATTGTATTTTTCATTAGTGTTTCCAGAATTTGACTGTCAATATAACTCTCACTCTTTTATGTGCACTGTATATGACACAAACATTTCTAGCACATTGTTATTTAGGTCCACTGAGAGGTGTACCATTAATCTTGGGAGATTCTTGAACTCACGGTGAAACAAAACACATTTATCAACAGTATCTTTCACTGCTGACCTTTTGAGAAGTCAAGACTAATCCTAATTCTATCACATTTAGTCAATGCTAGAGTAAATCTTTCAATTCTATGTTTGGACATCTGCAACCATACCAGCATATTTTTATCCCATTAAATTTAGCAAATGTTGCCAATATGTTCTAATATAAGTTTGTTCTTTCTTCAAGAAACTGGCGCTAAATGTTAAAGAGTCAAATCATATTTTTATATATTTCAAGATCATTTTGAGGTCCTGAATAATTAACTCAATGTTATATTTCAAAACAGCATCCTAATTAAAATGCAAGTTGCTGATGAAATTTAAAAACATAAGAACAGATAACTCTTGTTATATGAAAAAAATGTCTAAAATGTCTAAATTAAAAGATTTAAAAAATGGATATGCTAAGAATTTCTCAGACAGGCAAAAATAGCTTGATGTACACAACATAAAACATTTTCAATATTTCTTTTACCTTGATCAAAAGGCTTGTTTGGATTCCAGTTTCTGAAATAATCATCCTAAATGAAAAAAGAGGGATATAATTAAATTACATTTTAAGCCCTCTTTCAGTCATATGCATGACTGAACACATGATGTAATGCAGGGCTGTCAAACTCGCAGACAGTTTAGCAAAGGGGAAAAAAGTCCTGATATGTCACATGATGACGTTGTGACAACACAAGTTTGACACCCCTTATCTAATGGGTATATATGCAAACCTGTTCACATATCTTCTTGGCAAAGAACAATTTTTACCAGATTTTATCAGATTTTGCCCTTCTAATTGGCAGCGCCTGAATGAAGTTCTTTCAGACTATTCCATTGCAAACTTTAAATGATTAAAATGCATATATTGAGTTATGAACAATAGTACTATCCTATGAAGGGATGAATCTGTTTTCATTTGAACTTTACATCATGAAGCCAATATAAGCATTAGCCATTTCTATTATGGGTATTATTAACTTTTTTATGATTCTTAGTTATTACAGTATTTATCAGATGTGATCATGTTTGATTTTCCCTGACATAATTACTTGGGGAAATAGGGATAGAGATATGCCATTTCTTAAGAATAGAAGATAATTAAAAGGAGAAAATGGCTGCTCACACTAGAGTAGGTGCATTGAATATAAGATTAGATAACATAAGCTAACTTTGGAAGAACAGGGTTTTTAACCTTGCCAATTGTTTCATTGATTTTTTTTAATTCCTAAATAGGATTTCATTATTTCCTATCCCTGCCTTTCAGGTGAATCCTTCTTTTCCCTTGACTCCATCCCAGGTTTTTTCTCACCCTCATTTTTTCTTCCTGGCCAGGAGCATTTCTTCTGTTTTTTGTTTAGTCTATTGTAGAAACAGTATGGGAAGCCAGTACTTGGATAAACAGTGCATTTCTGTCTATGTGTACATGGGAAAAAGAATGTTTGCTATATATAGGTCGATTCACTTTATAAAGGGCTCAACTTATTTTATTAGCAATGAATTTTAATTAAATGTATTAATTCATTTAATTATTTTTAAATTTTTGTTTCTAGTTTTTGCCTTGCTGTTATTCAGGGGTACCATGGTAGATATATCATCGAGGTGGCGCAGTGGTTAGGGTGCAGTACTGCAGGCCACTTCAGCTGACTGCTATCTGCAGTTCAGCGGTTCAAATCTCACCGACTCAAGGTTGACTCAGCCTTCCATCCTTCCGAGGTGGGTGAAATGAGGACCCAGACTGTGGGGGCAATATGCTGACTCTGTAAACCGCTTAGAGAGGGCTGAAAGCCCTATGAAGCGGTATATAAGTCTAACTGCTATTGCTATTGCTATATATGATCTGGATAGGCATACACATATACATTTATTGGAGAAAATTTTCCGAGTCAGTCTTAAGCCGAAGTTAAAGTTGGCAGTTCTATATAGAAAACGGGAGAATCTCAGTATTGCCTGGAAAACATTTTCATCCATAGGAATGAAGAAATACAGTATGGATTAAATAATGTATTTGACAATTTAAATATTAGAGAAGGAATACAGAATCTACTATGATAGAAAGGTGCGAAATAGTTTTAATTGATTAGGGGGCAATTACATTGAAGAATATGCAGCTCATGCAAGTAGTTTACTCACACTGAGTAGTAAAGCTACTGAGCCTTGAATTCATCTTGCCATTTTCTAATTAAAGGACAAAATGAAAGAGGGATCTTAAGAAGGTTAGTCATCATAAAAGTTTACAATGCAAGAAAATAAATTACTTGCATGAGCATACCAAAAATATTATCAAGAATAACTCTAATAAATTCTAATTTCTCCTCCATGAATTAAAATTATACATATTTATTACATCTTTTATTGCATATGCTATCTATTTCTTAAATAATCTAAACTGAGAATTGTAAAGGAATAAAAAAGCTTCAGGTTTTTTTTTAGATTCAGAGCATATGGAAGCTTATACATTTTAAGAAACATAGAAACAATGAATATTTCACCAGTCAATGAACTGTAGTTTTGTTTCTGAAGAAATATTCATGTATAATAACTATAACCTAAAGATAATTTCAGAGACGTATCTCATAAATTTGAAAAGAATGTCATAACACAAGAAAAAATTGGCACAGCAATAAAATATCCATTATTGAAATATTTTTTTCCAAAACACAAATATTATTTGTGCTGACAATGAGAGAAATTATAGATGAGAATAAAATCACAGTAATAGGAAACATAGAGAATGCAATAAAGTGTATCTGTTAAAATCATGTAAACTATATAGCATTTAACTATTATTATATTATATAGTATTATATATAGTATCATATATTCCTCCAAAATCATTTAGTACAGCATCCTGTATCAAGTTCAGTTCTCAGTATGATCAGTGAATTGATTATATATGTATTTGAATACTATTATGATATAAAATGCTTAATCACAGTTGGGCTGTGTCCAAATGTTTCAGATTAGGAACACATGAATGCTACAAATAAATTCCTTCTTTCCATCACAATTTCCACTCTATGGAAATGGAACTTGATTGAATCTTGTTCAACTGAATATTCCTATACTAAATATGACTAAATTAATATAGCTAAATTGGTATCCAAAATTACAGGGGAGAATTTAAGAATTCAGTTGCAAAGGTATTTACTCAAGTTTGAACTCAATCATCTTTACAAATCAAATTGGGTGTTTTATTCACAACATTGAATCTGATGATTTGATTGATTTTTTTTTACAGTTTCAAAAATATTTTGTTGAAGTTAGATGGGCTGCAAACCAATTTAATAATAAATTATAACAATAATAAAAATAGTTTGTTCAATCCCTTGAATTATTAATCTAAATCCAATTATGATTTTAAAAAATCTTCAGGTTGAAACCATGAAAATCTGACAACTATTTAACCATTTCAATCAAAACATACCCGGTGACACATCCTTAGCTTGAATGTTTCTCAGAAAAGCATGTTTCTAGATGTGAGAAACTTCCCTTGTAAAAAAGAAATGAGCATAGATAACCAATGCATAGCAAGTGTCACTGATAAAGGTCAAAGGACTGCTGATAAAGATAACAGGATTGCTCATTAAGTTATTTGGCATTCTATGTCCAGCTACAGGGTTGAGTTTCCTGAAAACTTACCTATGCTAGATTCTGGCATTTTTCTTAACTATACAATGTCCAAAGTTCACAAAATGTCTGACCTCTCTCTAAAATAAAGTTAGCATCCTCTAGCAACATGAACTTTACGTCTAGAGTGCAGAGTTTAATAAAAAAAGTATGCACAGTTTAGAGTAATCCAAAGCATGTAGACATGCAATAGTTTCTAAAAGTATGAATTAAATGTAGCAGATCTTAATTAGATGAAATTTTTCAGGGGAGTTTAGCTTGGTTGCTGAGTTACTGAATTTTGGGTTGAGCTACTGTATTAAACATGATGGATATAATACATTATGCATGATTAATTATATGTAATCTCATTTATTTCTGTGGAAGAGTTGAAAACATTTTGTCTTTTAAAAATATATAATAAGTAGATAAATTTATCAGAAATGAGAATGCAAATTTAAATAAGTAACAGTTTAATATCACATATGCCCTCATAATTTCATAAAAGGTGTAGACAGGTGGGAGATAACAAATTAAATACTTTAGGGCAGCAAAAAGTAGAATTGAATGAAAATTTCAACACAATGTAGGGAATTTTTTTAAAAAAATACTCCAGTATTTATATAAATAAGAAAACATACCTCAACCTCCTGATCACGGAAGCATAATAAATAAGAGGAAACAAAAGAATTATATTAAATGATGTGAAACTTTCAGCTTTTTATCTAGCAATGATACACATTATTGTATTAATATTAATGCAATGGATAATTTAAAATCTGAAGATGTAAATCTGTTTAGATAGATATTTAATACACACATTTAATTCATACACATTTTTCTTCAGTAAACCTTCTACACCAATCGAAAATATATGCTAGCTTCCAAATTCAAGGTTAGGTCCAAAATAAGTAGAAGTTTATTCCATGCTACCTCTGTATAATAATCTCACACATACCAGGTTGGCCTTCTCATCCATGATAAAATCATGAATGAGGGAAGCTTTGTTACAGACTGACCTGGCATTCAAAAGCAGGAGCCAGATGCCAGGACCACTGAAGTTTAATTCAATGTTCAGGACTGATAACAAGAAGCTGGAACATTTCAAGACAGCAGTTCCTCTATCCCCACTCCTTCTCCCCCTCCCCTCATGATTCGATGGGTGAACTGTTCTTCCTGCTAGGAATCTGTTTTCCTGTAAGTTAAATTTATTATTCCACAAACTGCACTCAGGAACCAAAGAATTCTTGACTTTCTTCTGTGTGACATACATTCAGATTTTTGAATAGTCCTATCAAATCCTCCTGTGGTCTTCTCAATGCTAGACATTTTTGGCAACTTAAAATTATCTTTGTAAGACTTCAATTTCTAATATCGTGATTATTCCCTTTGGCATTTGGTAATCCTGTTTCAGTTGGTATAACTTCTTCTAGAATATGTTGTTCAGAACTACAAATGTGACTCAAGTCTGAATCTTACAAAAACAGATTAAAGTGAAAATATTATCAAGAGTTATTCTTGAATGAGGATTGCTGTTTTTGTTACCAACCTGACCTTGCTAGACACACTGAAATAATCACTTTATGCATATGTACAGAATCCATTATGGAATAAAGAAAAGCCAATGAATTTTCCACTGCCATCTTTTCTGGACTACAATAAAGAAAATTAATTGATCTCTATGGATTTTCTTCTTAAGGGCACACATTCCTTTTAGTCACCTAGAGTAGGGTTGATTTAGGGAGCCAAAACAACCTTTTGACTCCTGCTAAACCGGAAAAGATTATAGTAACAGCATAAGGAGGACATAATTAACCTCTCCGTTTCTCAGCAGAGGGAGCCAGAGTTGTCCAAAAGTATTTCCATGGTCATGTGGCCAGCATAACTATACACCAAGGCACACGGAATGCTGTTATCTTCTGACTGAATTTTACCTATTTATGTACTCACATTTTCATGTTTTCAGACTGCTAAGTGGGCAGGAGCTGGGGCAGAAACACTCAGCTTTCCAGGGGCATCTTATTGCCATTCCCACCCTTAATTTAGGGGAAGATAAAAATAGGACAACTCCCAACTTCAGTGGCATGATCTTATGCTGCTGAGGACTGCAACTGTAGAACTAGGGCGAGATGAAAACTTTCTTTAGAGGAAAAGAGCAGGAAATAAATAAAAAGTAATAAATAAAAGATTAAAAATAAAAAACACCCCTCCTGCCGTTTTCATTATTTCAGAGGAACTCTGGTCATTCTCACCACCATCATAATAAGACAAAATCAATTGATAAAAATCAATACTCTCATAGGTAAATAACAAGTTACCTGGAACTGAAAGCACATATGTTTAAGTTAACAATTCAACAATGTTCTTAGTAGAGCCTCTCCTCTCCCTACATTTCAAATGTAGGTCATTAAGATTTATCCACTGGGTTAACGATGGTTAAGTAGTAGGTAGGTAGGTAGGTAGGTAGGTAGGTAGGTAGGTAAGACAAGACAAGACAAGACAAGACAAGACAAGACAGGATGACAGACACCAATACATGATATACTTGACCATACTTTTCCAGTATAACTATATATTTTTTTAAAAAACTATTTACTAAAAAATACCCCTAATTTTGGTCTCAGAGGTGGGGGTAGTACATAACATTCAAACAGTGTCTTGAGTCCATTTGGCACATAATATTTTTACCTTTAGCTTTTTTATATATGAATGAATCAATTCATTAATAATTTATGGGATAGAATGAGTTTCAGGAACATGTCAACTATGAACATCAATGACTTTGATAAGAAGCTGTGTGCTTGATACTGCATAAAGCTTATACAGGAGCGTTAGCGAATTTTGTTAAACTTTGAATTATGAATCAAAGTGGCTAATGTGGGTTGAAATAAACATTATGCAAGATAAAGCCAAGTCTCCATAAAACAACCAAACCCAAAGTGGTAAAATTTGTACGTGATTTTGCTTTTATGTCTCCTTAAAATACTAGGAGGGAGAAATATGGAGTAAAGTAATTGACAGATTGGCCTTTTAATCTTATCTTTTTCTCAATACCCATTCTGGAACTGTAATCTCTTGTCCATTATTTTATTGCCCCTGTGTTAATATTACTGTAAAGTGTTCTGTAATTAATATACTATATTAATTTAATGAGTGACTTATCTATCTCAGTTTCTGATAAATTAAATGATACTGTGGACATCCTAGCTAGGATCTTGAGGCTCTGAGGATTGGGATAAAGAAGGTTTCAGCTGAACTTGGCAAAAATCAGTGGCTTTGGGTTTGGAGTCCTTTTGGTTTTGGGATTATATCATCTCTGATGATAGATGGATTGCATCTATTGTCTATTATTCTTGCTTTAGCTGGGTTTTTAAAAATATTTGTTAAGGTAAATGATTTTTTAAAAATAGTGGTGTATGCTTGTTTGTGAAATGAGCAGCTATGTAAATTAGATAGACAGATAGAGAAAATTCTATATACTACGTTAGTGAGTGACTCCTTACTAAAGCTTTGGAATCTCTCCATAATCTACAATCTTTTAGAGTTTATCTTAACTTTATCCAGATCCAATCCTATCTGGGATTTTCAATCAAAGTGCTTGGGAGGAGGATGTTAAATGCAAGTGTATTAAAATTAACACAGATTAATAGCTATTGCAACGCTTGATTTCCTTCACATGATTTACCTACTTCTGATGACCCTGTTTGCCAATCTCTGGCTTCTGATTAAGGAATCTGTCAACTTCTTAAGTGAATGTTAGAAACAATGGGAAGCTAAGGCAGTTTATGTAATTTGACCATGAGGGGAATTCATAAATCATTTATTTTGTTTTTATAAATGACAATCAGTAAATCGGTTTTTGTATAACTCGTCTCAACTCATCCTTCTTAAATCTGATACATCAGTTACCCTTATAGTTATCTTTGCAGGAGAGGGAATGGTGTTTGGATACTATCAAATATATTAATATATTAAAATGATATTTAATGCAGTTGTCCTACAAATATCAGAATTTAAAGGAGCTTAATCACAGTTTTCTGTATTATTTTTCTAAATGTTTATAAGGTGTCCTATCAACTAACAATTAATTAAACTGTAGATTTCTCCAGGATGATCTATCCCTAAAATGTCCTCCTGATTTCCAAAGTTCTATTCTACTTTATTGCCACTGAAATGGAATCAAACCACTGTGCCACTTATCATCCTCTTCTCTTTCCTTTCAGCACATAAAGTAGTTGTCTTCTGATTGTAAATGTGTTTGATGGAGCTTCATCTGGGTTCTGTCTTCCTGGCATGAGTGAACAATAAGACATATTGGAGGAGGAAGGGAACTTTCAGGTGTTTATTTCTGCAGAAATAGAAAGCTTCATGCTTGGGTTAAAAAAAAAAGGTAAAGGTTTTTCCTATCTAGTCGTGTCTGACTCTAGGAGATGGTGCTCATCTCTGTTTCTTAGTCGAGGGAGCTAGCGTTGTCCAAAGATGCTTATGTGGTCATGTGGCCAGCATGACTATACACTGAGATGCATGAAATACTATTACCTATTTATCTACTTGCATTTGTATGCTTTTGAACTGTTAAGATTGGTAGGAGCTGGGGCAGGAAAGGGAGCTCACCCCATCAAATGGTACTTGGGCCTCAAACTTGTACAAGATGGGAAACCTTCTTAATCCTATCATTGTCAGGAGTTTCCTGCTGCGTGTCTGTGTCAGTTTTGCAACGAAGCTGGCAGAGAGCGGGGGAAGCTTAAAACAGTCCAAAGGGTAATTTAATCAGTTCTAATATTTGACTTGTTTCTACCTAACTTGATTAATTCCTTGCTGATGTGATATTGAAAGCGTTATTTGAGAATTTTTCATATAGAAGGCAACACTTTTGCTATTGCTCCTTCTAAGGGAGCAATAAAGGGGACTTTCCTTATATGAAGGATGCCATTTTATATTTTCTATTCATCATTATATATTCTTAAGCTGTCATCAAACTATCAAATGCAAGTGCTTCTTTTGCAGGCTCATACAACTGTTCAGAACCTGTACCTCATTGTTTTCATAGTCTCTTTGCTGGTAAAAAAAAGATTTCCTATTTGCTTGTAAGATAATGTAAGAATTATTTTTTTTTCTGTTGTTACTGTTTCTAGGTCTAATATGTAGCTAATATTTCTCAACTACATCCTTAGCAGCATCAAACAAAATCTCATTAAATGCTATTGAGCAGACTTCACAAGATTGAACAGACCATGACTTGAACAGTCTCATAGCTGTTTATTGCTCCCTGTAGTACTATTAGGATCAAAGCTTTTGTATCTTTTCTTATGTCATACTGGCATGAGAGTCCTGTGGGACTGAGATAGGTTATAAGTGCTGTCAATTAATTAATTAATAACTAATGCAAAATATGAGATTCTACCATATTACAGTGAAGCCCCAAAGAGAATTTGGTGTCACATAGTTTGATAGTATAAGCACTGAACTTCTGTGTGTCAGTGCAAAGAAGAAAAGGTTTGACAAGCAATGGTGGAATTTTAAAAAGTCAGATGTAAGAATTAATAGAAAAGGAGAGTGGGAGAAAATATACTTAGCTTAGAGGTTAGAAAGAATCTGATTAATTATGGAATGAAACAAAATGTGGAAAGGCTTAGCAAAAGCAGGAAATTAAACTGTCGAGTCATAGAAAACCAGAAAAAAAGAAAGTTAAAGAGGAAATAATATTAATTGCTTAAAGCCTCAATTAGATAAGGAACTAATAGAATATGTTGTAATGTGCAACTGGTATATTTTGGGTGGAATATATCATCATTACCTCAGACAATTATCATCTCTTTATATTCAATGTAGAGTGCTGGTTGCTAAAATTTACACATTGGAATTCTGAATAATAAGTGCATATCTCACTATCTTGCTATCAAAGGAAGAAGGGAGTGCTACATGAAAGAAAGAATTATCTAAACAGGTCTAAGTGGAAATAAAAACAGATGGTTCCTGGAAATAAAGCTAAATGATAACACAAGTACACTCAGTTACAAGGCAGGAAACAAATTCCAGGAAAAAAGTGGGATTTAATTCTTAAGTAGCTCAACATCCATGGATGGAACTTAGGGAGTTGCTTGAAGTTAAATGAAATTAAGCACTCAATGTTGTTCCATTATGAAATCTGCAGTAAATAAATTTAACAAATAAATATTTCATTTCATTTCATTTCATTTATTTTATTTGTATGCCGCCCTTTTCCCTGAGGGGACTCAGGGTGGCTCACAATTCAGGGGGAGGGAAGGACAAAACACGTTACATACATGAAAACAATACATCGTTAAAAAATACAACAGTCATACTATTCGGGTGGGGTTGAAGTCTTTAGCCCCAGGCCTGTCGGGACAGCCAGGTTTTAAGGGCTACGTGGAAGGTCTGGAGGGTGGTGAGGGTACGAATCTCCATGGGGAGATCGTTCCAGAGGGTCGGAGCAGCCACCGAGAAGGCTCTCCTCCGGGTAGTTGCCAGTCGATAATCCTCCTCCTAGTGTTTTTCCCGCAAATGCAGAGTCCACTTTTCAAGTCAACAAACACTATCTTGCATGATTAAACGCAGTATCTGAGTCCAACTGGACATTTTTGATGTCCGTATTTATTGTATCTTGCCATCTTTGCTTTGGCCTTCCACATGGGTTCTTTGCCATGTGTATTAAAGTGGAAGACGATGTAGACAATGGTGTGGGGTTGCTCCCACATATTCTCTGATATTGGTGCGGTACACATTTTCTTCCAAACTGTGTCATTGCTGACATGGTCAGGGAAGGAAATGTCTAATGACCAATGAAGCACGCACATATAAATAACTGAAATATTCTTCCATCTACTGTATGTCTCTACTTTATGTCTCTACACTGCAATTATTCAGAGTTTTATAAGATCCCATCTGAAGATGACAAGAATAAAATTTGGATTCAGCTCCATGAAAAATATTTGACTTATTACTTAGTTATGACCACCTCTTAAGTACTCCATAAAAAAATTACCAAGATAGACCCATGCTGCCATAATTGGCAAAGTGCTATCAGAAAACTCTATTGCCAACTGTACAGTTTTTGAAAGTAAATTTGCTTGTGCAAAATGCAACTGCACAGGCAAATTATCTGTGCTTTTAGAACAGCGCATATTACACCTCTGTGAAACGGATGGTCAAATAAATTTGATGAATGAACAAACAAACAAACAAATAATTCATAGGAAGGATTAGCTTTCCACTTTCATTTCCTCTACCTTATAATATTGGAGTTTAATCCAACATCAGGGCAATATGAAAACAGTAACTGCTGTTTGTAGTGTTTGCTAATACTAATCCAGAGCATAATATAACATTCCCCTGAGGCTAAATGCCTAATGAAATAAATTGTAATGTCAGCAAATTATACATTTTAATGCAAATATAGATTTCCCAGTTGTAACAACAGACCTGTTTTAGTTAAAAAGGATAGTTTTTCAACCTTCTATGAACAATGTAATCTTTCTAGCAATCTTTTTCTATTTGGTTTCTTGGGAAATGTGGAATATTCATTCAATTAGTCTGGCTTCCACAATGAATGGATAGTAGCAAGGGAATATTCCTTTCTGTCTCTTTTTCTGATGGCAGAAGGAACCCTTGAAGACATCATGATATATTTCCCAAGATGGGTAGAATTCAGGAGATATTACTTTTGCACATGACAAGACAAATGGATAGAATACAAAAAAGGAATATTTTAAATATCAGCAAGGTTGGAGTGGCAGGTATACTTATGGGAATTAGGAGGTTTCTAAGTCACTACAACTCAACTGCTAATGAAATTAAATGAGATGTTCTGGTTTGGGGAAAAATAGTTTGCTTTGTAAACAATGAATATAAACTCATCCATTCCTACAAAATACAACAGGAAGTTTTTTTTTTCTATTCAGTCATATTAAACTTCCTCTCTTTTAACTCATAGTTTTTCCATATTTGTTTAAAGTTTAGAGTTTTTTTAGTTCTCATAGAATGAAAACTTTCCTCAGTTTATTCACAACAAAGCTGACACAGACTAATGTTTCTGCTTATAAAGATAAAATAGTGGACTGTAGTAAAATGAGCCGTGGTGGTGCAATGGTTAAAATGCAGTACTGCAGGCTATTTCAGCCAACTGTTAATTTCAATTTGGCAGTTCAAATCTCACCGGCTCAAGGTTAACTCAGCCTTCCATCCTTCTGAGATGGGTAAAATGAGGACCCAGATTATTGGGGACAATATGCTGACTCTGTAAACTGCTTAGAGAGGATTGTAAAGCACTATGAAGCGGTATATAAATCTAAATGTTATTGCTATTGCTAAAATGGAAAGTCTGTCAAAACAAACTCACATAAGTAGTAACTTTCAATAAATGCAAGATTCTTTGCACTGTTACAAAACTAGATTGCCTTTCTCACTGGTGTTATTTTTTGCTATATTTTTTGCTATATTTGGATGTATGTATCCAATAGCACAATATAATAAGAAATCTTCCCCAAATAGAGCTCAACATCTAGAGAAATGGTCTCTGTTGTTTTCTTCTGGAATTTTTAAATATCCCAGTCTAGTGTATAGTACTAGTATCCTCTGGAAGACTCTCATCGAACCATTAGCCAGGTATGAGTTTGCTTAGCTTCCAAGCCCAATGAAGTAGGCAGGTCCTCTGTCAATTATGTTCAGAAAGCCACTCATAAATGCCAACAACCCCGAGGGAAAACACATTCCTTTAGTGTGGTTTTAAAAAACCCTGTAGTTTGAATGCCTAAATGCCTCAGAGCCAGTGCTTGAGTGCTTGATTTTGAATGAAAGCACCTAGTATAAAGGGAAATTTGGTAGAATGATGGAACATACTGCATAATGTCATACCTACATACACATTGTATAAAAAAGATAGTATGTTTTGGGAATGTCATATTATATACCAAATAAGAACTATCCACAGGAACTGGGAGGTAGTATCAGATCTTTAAGGTTCTCTTCAATTAAAAATAAAATAAGTGTCTAAATAAAATAGGGTTTTAGTAATGGATAGATTCAATTACCTCCTCACAGAATAATATAAAGGGTGTTTTTTTTTTACAGCTAAGTGTTTAAATATTAGATCTCATAACAACTGCACTCTAGAGAATAGACTCAAAATGGGAGGTCATATGTCTAGTTCTTCAAAATACCCAGAAGCAAGAGAGAAGTCTGTAAATATTTAAACTGAAAAATAGAAAAGATTCCAAACCATTCATGTTTAACTACAGGTTTTTTTTAAAAAGCATTTGAAGAATGAGGGAATCGGTAATTGAAAACTGAAAAGGAGAGTAAACAAATAAAATAAATTTGGCACCATTTCTCAACTTTATATTCATCACAATCAAAGCAAACTTTCAGCAATCTATAGGAGTTAACAGCAACCTGAATTGAGGCATACAAATTTAAACATTTAATAAACAATGAGATAAAATAATTAATTAATTAATCTCAAGTGCTGTATTCATACCAGTTGGTAAGAATCAACAGAGTGCTATCTTGTGGGACATAGGAAATGTGTGTTCTGTGTCATGATGGCTGTCCTTTGGAATGACATATGGCTGGCTCCCATCCCGATCATGTTCCAAAAGACTATTAAACATCTAACTCTTATTTCAGATTAAGGAGGTTGGGTCCCATTGTTGAATGTTTTGTGTATTATGGTGTTGTCACTGCAATTAGATGTACACCCTTATTATTTTCTATTTTGTTTCTGTCTTGTTTGCAATGCAAGTCATCCATAGTCAGACTGAGTTGGCTGGTGCACAATTTTAATAAACTTCCTGTCATTTCTCATAGGTTCTCTCGAATAGCTCAATTTTCAAAAGTCGCCAGATGTGAGTATATGGCATGATTTCCACTGGGAGGCTACTTCTTTAGATTTTGTCTCAGCAGTATTTCTTCTACTGCATGATAAAATTCTACTTTTCCTAATATCCTTTATCACATTGTCTGGAATTTCTTGTTGAATATATAGATATAATAGAAATCAAATGAATAAATGAATAAACAAAACAATATCTTTCACGACAAACCTTTAGCCTACAGATCTCTAACTTCATTTTCTAGATTTTACCTCAAAATACGACATAATTAAAATTTTATTTTTAAAATATTAAAATACTTTAAAAATAAAACCAATATCAAGGGAACTAATTACTAGTAATCAAACAATTATAGCTTTTGCTTTGTATTATAAAAAGAAAGGATTATTTTTATTGCCTTAATTCCTAAATTAGTAATTGTTAAATGAGTAATTCTAATCAAATTGATACTACAAATATGACTGTTATATTATTAATCATAAATATTATCACTGGAATGCAAAAATCACAAAATCCCTCCTTGCTTATTTTGATCAAAGTCACTGGAAAAGACAGTTGTTTTTTGGAACAGTCATAAGTAAAAGTGACAGGCATTAAAGACAAGATTTTGTCATCTGGATGTGTGGCAGAGACCATGGCATGATTGTGTTGATTTGTTGTTGGTTTTTTTTTTTACTTTGACTACTGATTACATGTGTGTGTCATATTGTTATGTGTTGCTGTAGTGTTTTTAATTGTTATTAGCTACCTAGATTTAAGAATCTGACATGGGCAGCCATATAAATTGATATAATACATAAAATTATATATAAATATACATTTTGGAATTCTCCAAAGACAGTATCAAGACTTTTAGAGCTGGCAAGTATTACATTTTTGTAACATCTGATAATCTTGCTATTCATTCCTAGCTAGAAATGTCTTTGAATCATAGGACTAAAAGTCAGAAGGGTTGATAGACTGCCCTTTTATAAAATAATCTATTTGTGGCACATCTTGGGGCGGGGGGAAGCTTGTTAATAAGAATATTTGCAACATGCAAAATAAACATTTTTGTGAGTTTTCAGGGACTACCAGAGGTTCTGGAGCTTCAAGATGCATACCTCTTTTCTAATATTTGGTAATGATACCAGTAATTTCTCTAGTGAGTCTGTCTATTTCCATCCGTAAATTACATTCCTATACTGTGCCTGTTCGTTCTCATTTGATTTACAACTTCAAATGCAGAGAGATGGAATGGAATGGAATGTCATTCCCAGTCATTCTTTCTGGCAAAATGGAAGCATTTTTTTTTTCTGAGCAAATCTGATTCTCAATTTGTCTGAATATTCCCCAGCAAAAAGATAATATAGTAAGCAGATGGTTAAAGTATCAGTACAAATGGTTTTCACTTTGTTCCCATCAACCTTGGCTATACATCTATTTGATTGTAATAAAAGGGCAAGATTGCATGAAGTCCTGATCAACAGGGATCTCCAGAGCTAGCTCAGAAATAGTACACTTCACTGCTTAGCTCCTTTATTAACTAAATGTCAAATTCACCTTAGCATTGCTAAGGGCTCCTTGGCCTGCTTACTGTCTTCTTGGAAAAATCAGGCATGACATTAATTGTAGCAAGGTAGTCATGATTGGTTGCGCAAAGAGCAGCCTCAGGAAAGGCTATGCAATATGAAGCTTTCTTTCAGAGGTGAGAAGAGTTTTATTTTTGAAAGCAATGTTGATCTAGCTGCGGGAAAGAAGAAGAAGGCAATTAATCCATTATCATAGGAGAAAAGATTTTCCTTAGTCTAGAAAAATGTAAAGCATGAGAAAGAAACTCAAAGGAAACTGCTCTTTATTTTGTTTGTTAAAAGGGGCGGGATTAAGAGAAAATCCCACAAATTTTCATGATCTTATTATACTTTCTTACAACAATAAAGAGCATTCCTGGAATACCTTGATGCTGCTTTATCTTGGTCATGCCCTACTTCAAAGGGTCGAGTACTATTTTATATTAACACAGCCTCTGCCAAGTCTGCTTTCTTTGAAATGGAAGTAGCGGTTTCAAAAGTCATAGCTATGTAAGACATTAATCCTATGAGTATACATTTCTATACTTACAGCCCCTATTTCAATTTCAATAGGAGTTTAGATATATAAATGCCCATTTTCATCTTCTACATATGGTATGTAGATACAAAAAAACAGCTTGATAAGGTTTTAATCACTAACATTATCATAATTAATTTCCCACATCAGAAATAGCCTTTTATTTAAGGGATTTGGGAAACATGTTTTTCCCCCTTTGGTATGTG